TTATTAATTTAATTTCTTATTATAAATATTTATATATATATAATTAATAATTTAAATAGTTTATTTTAATTTATATTATAAAATAATCTGAAATTAAATTAAAATTTTAGTTCAATTCAATTTAGATTATAAAATATAAGATATTAATTTGAATCTTAATTAAATTGTAAATTATAAAATTTTATTAAAATTAAAAATTTCAAATTAATCTAAAAATTTAGTTCAATTATATATCTTTATCATTTAATTGTAATAATAATTTTAATTATTCTATCAAATGATTTTTTTATCATTTAATGAAAATGATAATTTTGATTTCCCTATTAAATGATTCTTTTATTATTTAATAGGGATGATATTTTGATTATTTTTATTAAACAATATTGTTATTTTTTGATATAATAATAATTTAATTATTTGATTGGATGAACTAAACTGAAAATTTTTAGAATGATTTTTATATAATTTAAAACTGAACTTAATTTATTCTAAATTAAAAATTTTCAGATTAATTTTAATTGTTTAGATTTTTATATATAATTTATTTTTAATTATATAAAAAATATTTATATTATATTAATGTTTTTTTAATATAGATAAATATAATTGTTATAAATTAATAAAAATTACTAATTATATAATATTTAATCAAAATTTAAATCTAATTAAAATATTAGTTTTATTTATTAGAATTTTTTTTATTTTTTTTGATTAATATTAAACCTGAACTTATTTTACTTATTTTACTTAAAAAATAATCATATTTAATATAAAAAATAAAATTTTCAAAATACTTATATAAGTTATTTAAAATTATAATATCTTAAAGTATTATGAGTTGTCTATATAAATCTTAGGATGACTCTAATCGTAACACCAAATGCTAAATATATTCATCTGATAGATTTGATAGTAATACTTTTTTAATTGGTTCTAATGGTAATTAAATTATCGAAATAAAGAACTAGTAAAGCAAAGCATTTGAACTGAGAAACAATGTATACTCGATAATGATTTGTATTTAAGAATTAAATAGAATACCGTAATTATATAATTATATAAAATTAGTTATAGTAATATCGATAATATATAATGACAGTATTATATACATACAGTATGTATATATGATGGTATGCCATAATCAAAAAAAAATGTTCAATAAAGTTTTAATTCCTCCGATCCGAATTAAAAAGTTTCTTGAATGGCTTTTTTTCCAATTGAGGCTTAGAACAAAATTAAAAAGGTTATGTTTATACGGCCTGCTTTATCGTTGATAAATTATATGAGTGAATTTAAATCGTAGTTTTCCCAAATTGGTGAAATAAAATAATGGCGGAACAACTTTAAATAAATTTTCCCGCTTTTGGGTTTTTTATGGAATGATCGACCCAAAAAGCCAATCTTGTCTTTGGGATAAAACGTGGCTGTAGTTCTGTACGACCGAGCCACAACATAATTATAATGCATGATCGCCTGTTTATTTTTTTTTCGTTCTCGTTTTTCTTTTATAAAACTTTCGTTTAGTTATAAATATTTAAATTCGTTTCTCTTTGTATCTTAAATGACACTGTTCCCATATTCTTGCTTTAATCTCTATAATAAATTTAAAAAGATTTGAATTGTGACTGAACTTTCGAATATTAATCCAAGAAAAAAAAATCTCTTAAATTAATTGTTCTTTAAAAGAAATTTTTTTTTTTCAAGCATTCTTTGACCTCCTTTATACATTTTCGGTTTCAATAGTTAAAAGTATTTTGTAAATATGGATGATCTGAATGACTTAATTTGGGGTTCTGGTTCCAATAAATCTCAAAATCAAAAAAATAACAATACTTCATTAAATGCAATGCGAGGTATACCAGCAACTCTACCGAAAAATTCAGCAACACTTTCTACATCACCAATCAAATCTACAACATTTAATTCATCCAATCAAAATAATTTCCTTTCTCAAGCTATAAATGTTAATTCTCCTGTATTTAAAAGATTTAATAATAATAATAATAATGATAATGATAATTTGGATTCAAATATTCCTGCTAATCATCAAAATTTTTTGTTGACACCTTCAACGACTGGAAAGAAAATTTATTCTTCAAATTATTTATATAGTAATAACAATAAATCACCAAGTATTTCGCCAAGTTTATCTTCAACTTCAAATAATAACAGCGTAGAATCATTAGATGATCTTTTGCCTTTTAATAAGAAACCACCAAGTTTATCATTAGCGGAAAAACGTAAATTGCAAGAACAAGAACAACAGCGTAAATTACAAGAAGAACATGAAAAATTAAAAGAACATTATGATCAATCACAATTTTGGGATTCTTTAGAAGGAAAAGGTTCAAGTGCGCGAGAGAAAACCGGAGATATATATGATATTTTGTCAAAAGAAAATCCATGTGAAATTTCTGAATCGATATATCGAGATTCTTCAAATAATCAAATGTTTGTAGGTTATTTTACCTTTATTAATAATTGTTCTTAAAGTACTAAATTATCATTAAAATTAATTAGAAGTTCGCAAAATGTTCCTCATTTAAAACCCACGTCGAGGGAGATTCAATGGGATTTGAATTTATTATCTAATGATGATACAACTAACAACAAGGCGCAAAACACGGTAATTTATTGACTTTTGACTTTATTTCTCATATTTTTAATTACGATAACTTATTTTATTTATAATTCACGAGATAGGTCTCTTCAACAACCGATGATTTAATGGTTTTTGGATTTGCTGAAAAACAAACTAAATATTCATCACCTGCTTCCACTTTTAACGTTGAGGAGGATGATAATCCTTTGGGAGAACTGGCAAAACCAATTTCGGCAAAAAAGGATGCGTCATCACATAATAAAGAAAAGGATTTAAGCAACAGTTCAAAACCAAGAAATGAATTTAAAGATCATTTGATTGCACAAATTGTTGACATGGGGTTCTCGGCAGACGAAGCGGAAGCTGCATTGGCTGCTACGGATAATGGTGAAGATGTTTCATCTGCAATTGAAATCCTTATACAACAGTGTGAAACTATAGATAAAATTCCTAGTAATCAAGCCCCTAAAAGTGGATCAAATAAATCACAACCATATGGCATGGGTCGTCGAAGATCAAACACTCTCGATCATCCCCATCAAGGTCAAGATGATGATGGTTATATTGGGAGAGGGCGCCTTCCATCAAAAGCTCACACACTTAGTGTACCAAAGCGTAATGTTTATGGTGTTAGTATTTCTGATGGCGAAAGTAGCGATCGTTCATCAGCTTCAGTATCATCAAATTTTTTACAACAAAAAGAAAAACTTATCTCTACCGCTAGTGAATTTGGAGCGAGTGCTCTTAAAAAAGCGAGCGCTTTCTATAAACAATCAAAAGAAGTAGTAAATAAAGCATTGGAAGAATTGCAAGATTCTGAAGAAGATTTTAGTAGAAGACCTAGGTGGATGCAAGAGAATAATTTTCAATCTGATGATGATTTTCCGGGAAATAAGTTTGAACGGGTTGAAGAAAGATTTCAAGATAGTTTTGATGACAGTAGCAGTGATGATGATATTGGTCGTCGTCCGGTATCCGGAAGACATCGATTCGTTTCTGTTTCTTCAAACGCAAAAGATAGCAGTGAAGATGACCTACCCGCGCCTGGTCAAAATAAATTTATCCCAGTATCATCAAGGCTTAGAGATAGTAGTGATGATGATGTACTAACAGATCGAAATAGATTTGGTATAGCATCTTCCAATCTTAGAGAAAGTAATGATGATCGTTACCGTCCTTTCTATCGTAGTGAATTAAAGAAACCATCGAAACCAATTGTGCCTTCACGATCCACAAAACCGGATATAAATACATCCGACTCGACTTATATCTCACCTGCCCGTCGACGACCATTATCAAATAATTTACAGTTACCTGTTCGCGAATCTTCATCGATTCATGTCGAAAAACCTTCAAAACCTCCAAGATCCGTAGTTTTTGCTTCACCTGAGCATTTGAACAAATCTGAGATTCATAAAACAAATGGAAATGAACTTTTTAAACTTGGTCAATTTGGTGAAGCTGAACAACTTTATTCTTTGGCTATTGATTCTCTTCCATCAAAACATTTATTACGTGCTATTTTATATAATAATCGAGCAGCTGCTAAATTAAAGAATGGTGATCATCGTGGATGCGCGGAAGATTGCACTCTATCACTTCGGTTAATTGATGATTATTCCTTACCACCTCCTCCCGGGGTTTCGATTAATTTGAAGGATCAGTATACAAAAGCATTATTTCGGAGAGCTTCTGCTTATGAAATCATGGAAAAATACGAAAATGCAAGAGACGATTATCAAAAGTTGATTAGCGCTGATCCAAATAGTGGTAAAAACGTGAGCGATGGATTGAGACGATGTCAAAAAGCCATTAAAATAATAAGTGGTGAAACAGGAATCAAGGGAGAAAATCACTCTCCCCCAATATTGTCAAATAAGTCATCAAAACATTACGAATTTAATGAGTTCATGCTCTCAGATACTTCAATATCTACAGGTTTAGCACGATCAGAAACTCAAAGTACATTTGGAGCACCCCTAAATGCATTTGGATTTATCGATCCTATGGAATCTAATAATTCAGCAACATCTTCGACATATGTTGACCCTAATATTCCAGCTGTTGCTAAACTACGAGATCAAACTCGACAACAAGAGCTCGAAGATGCAGAAAAACTAAGATTGAAAGATCAAGTCGATCAAAAGATATTGCAATGGAAAGGAGGCAAAGAAACAAATATTAGAGCTTTAATAAGTAGTCTTGATATTGTTTTATGGGATGGCGTTGGATGGAAAACGATAGGACTACACGAATTGGTAACTCCTTCACAAGTTAAAGTTAGATATATGAAAGCTATTGCTAAAGTTCATCCTGATAAGGTTTGTGTTCTTTTTCCTTTATATTATTTTATAAGTTGTGACGTGCTAACATGAATATATTCTTTATAGTTAAGTTCATTAACTACAATAGAACAAAAGTTATTGGCCAACGGTGTATTTTCTACTTTAAATGATGCTTGGGATGTTTTTAAGGTTCAAAATCATTTATAAAATGATTTAAATTATTATGGGATTTGTAATTATATATAAAAAGTATGCCGTTCATTACTTTTTTTTAAAAAAAAACAAATAAACGATAGAATAATATATTCTGTAATAAATAAAACTATTTGTAGTTATCAGACTAATCTTTCCCAATATCAGGGCACATTACCTACCTCACCAAGTTCAGTAGTTCTAAATCCTCGAATTTTGATCATCGGATTTTATCAACCAAATGATTTTTATTCTAATTTCCAGGAAGCAAATAAAATAAAAGTTTGCAATGCATATTCCTTCTCATCCTAAGCGTCCTCTTTTCGTGCATGTCAAGTTTTTAATCCCAAGTTAATTCATTTTGGTGAAATAACATGGTTCGTCAATTACCCCTTTATCTCAAATAGCATTAGACTACCAATTTCTTCTTGTAGTGTAGAGCGAAGTTTTCTTTTAAATATAATTCAATATAGATGATCGACAAAATTTATCTTTATGTAGTTTAAATATGCTTTATTTTAATGGAATTATTTGTTAATTTAAACGGAAATAATTATATCACCGCAGAAAACCATTGTCCCTGGTTCGGAACGATCTTAACTAAAAAAAAATTCTCGACTTTTGTGCAATTGCAAAAGCCAATCAGCATCGACTCAATTATTGAGCTGGACATTTGTATATAAGTCAAGCATTTGGCTTTTTCCAAATACTTTTTTTGCTGTTTAGTCTTAGATGTTATAGAACGAGCCACGATTTTTTTTTTTTTAAAAAAAAATATATTGGATTTTATGTTTTGTTTTGTTGTAAAAAATATGAAGGATAAGTCAAAATTGAAAAAAAAAATGTCACACAAAAAACAAATAGAAAATTTAATAAAGTTTGTATCTTTATTTGACAAAATTCGTCATAAAATCGACGCGTTTACGCTATCTGTTTTGATTTATATAATAAAATATATGCGATATGCCAATCACCTGCCATAAAAATTATAATTTTATTAATAACGATCAAAGAAAGATCAAGCATAATTAATTTAATTTACTTTATTTACCTCCTCCATCCAATTTTAGAATATCTTCTTGCGTTACAGTTGAAACCTTGTCATCATCATATTTAATCCAATCATCTAAAAAGAAAAGAGTTTATATAAAATAAAAAAAAATTAACGTATAATTTTGGATATATTTTTAAATTATTACGTACCAGAATTTTCTTTACGAACCCACCCAATGTAATGTCCTAAAAGATTAAAAATCCATTAAATTAAAAAGAATATAATTTATTAAACAAAGACAAAAATAATTAATAATAAATTAACCGGAATCGGTTGATCTTCCAATATGAGTAAGTGCCGCACAAAGATCATATAATCCTGATACATTAGCTCCAACGTCTTTAGCTAATTCAGGATCAATAAGTTTTTTAAGTTTTTCAAGTTCTTCTACATTTGTTGTTTCCTCAATTTTTGAATCTGTTGTATTTTGATTACTATCATTCGCTGCAAGTTTTGCTTTTCGCTAAAATAAATTTTTTTTTTAAAAAAAATTTTTTCTGAACCTCTTATACAAATAATTTCGTACCTTTGAACTTGCTCTTTCTTTTTCCAATTCAAGTAAACTGTTCCTAAGAGGTAACGTTTTGTTTTTTAATTCATCAGTACAAATATCTGTAACGTCTAATTCCATTGGAAATTTTACTTTACGTAAAATTTTAATGTTACGGTCGGTTTTCCAATAAAACCTTACAAATTGTACTGTAAGATATGCTGGTAACCGGTTTACACGTAAAGATTTACTGTACGTTGCCATTCTCCCTAATGTAGGAGAATTTTTTTCGATCTTTTCATCTAAGCCCTAATAAAGTTGGTTGGTCGCATAAGTGGTTATTATAAATAAAGAGTGAGTTAATTTTTATTACAAGTGACCATCCTTATAAAGAAAGTATTATATAAATAATTAAGCCACGTACCTGCATAATTCCATTTTGCATAAAATTTGTTTGTACTGTGATATGACATTTTAAAGTAAAAAATTCTTCCTTAGTAACAACCTCCGCTTCATCGGGATCTTCAAGACATTTAAGGCTAATAAAATTAATAAAAATAAAAATTTTAATTATTTATTCTGCAAAAATAAAATGATATACATGATTACGAGACAATCCACACGTTGAAGTAAATTCTCCTTTCATATAACGATCAATAAATGATCCTCCTATTGATGATGAATTAGGATCTTGTTTAGGTATAGCAACATTTGCTTGATTCAAACTAGTTATGATTTGAGACCAACATTCATCAGCATCTTGTTGCATAAATCCGTGAGCATTACGTTGAGCAAATTGAGGGAAAGCACTTCTAAGCACCTAAAGATAATAACATTAAATCTTTTAATAAAAATAATCTTTGAAACCCTTCATCGATATTAGCAGCATACCTCTAGAAAAATTTGCGGAGAGGAAGGTCCAGTGGTTTGATCCATTTGATGATACAGATCACGTAAAGAAGTCGTAAGATTTCTCTGTAAGATATTGGCATCCGATTCTCTACCTGTAAAACTATAATAACCCAAATTTGGTTAAAATCACTAAATATAAGTTAATAACACAAATGCTTTACCTATTGAGTGATTCTTGCAATTCTGGAATAGCTCGAAGACATTGCAAGGTGGCATTCATGTAACAGGTATTACCAAGATTTTCAAGACCGGACGGTAATTTCAACTGTTAATAAAGGATCATTAATAATGATGGATTTCCGCTATATTCACATAGTTAAATTTAAATTCATACGGTTTCGGCCAGTTGCTTATCTGTCATATCTTCATAGAATAAAGTTCTTTCTTTTGGCTCCGTTGGTAGTTCACCAGTCGTTCCCATCATCTAAATAAATAATAGATACTTTAACGAAAAATTAATGCAGCGATAGGATCAAACTTTAATTACCGTACCATTAATTTGCTGCCCTATATCCAGAATGTAAATACGTTAACAAGAAATATTTTAAAGTTGATTCAAAATATAAATAAATAAATTTCGAAACCTCTTTGATGTTCAAAGTGCTTAAATCAGAACTTTCCTAAATAAAAATATAAAATAAATATTAAATAATATAATGAGTGTATAATAAACTTATTTACCGTCAAGAGTTTGCCCTTAAATAATAGTCTTTGTCTATAAGGTTCTACACTTGTCAAACTGAACATTTTAGCTTTAATGGAATCAACCGAATCATCTTCTTCAATTTCTAAATCAAAGTTTTTTCCACTCCAGGTAACGACAACTATGGGCAAATTAATACATGAGAAAAAATTTAAGTAACCATTGAACATAACTCTTGAACAAACCTTTAATTGACGACATTTTGTATTGTAAAGATGTTAGGTGGCTAAGTTTTAAAAAAAAAAAAATTCGAAAAAAATAGCAAAGCCAATTACTCTCACGTGATCGTGACTCTCGATTTGGAAAAAATGGATAAAATTGATAAAATTCAATATAATAATATATCCATCCTTGTTTAAAAGTATTTCAATACCTTAAAAATTTATATTTGAAATTTAAATTATATAATATAAGTTATATATTATTTTTATAAAAATAATTATATAAAAATAGTAGCAAGTAAATTATATATGAAACATATGGATTGATTAATAGAAAAATCAGGTTCTGGGAATTAAGCTCTTAATTTTAACCAAAAATATTTTGAAATCTGATTTTTTTAGAAATCTTTCTATATAATAAAATTCTTTAATATATCAGATCAGATAAATCAAATTACCTAAACTGAGAGATTAGATCAAGTCAAGTAAAAATCTAACTTAATTTAAATTTTTATTTGATCTGATTATTATATGATTTAATCAGATTTATCTAACAAGTTAAGTTGATCTGACCTGATATGATTTGATTTGACCTAAAAAAAAATTTTTTTGTTTTACTATTTAAATAATATGAAATATTATTAAATTATAAAAGAATAATATAATAAATAGAACTTCAGATCAGATTAGATTGACTTGTTTACCTGATCTGAAAATTCAGATCAGGTCAATAAATTTTTAGATTAATGTTAGGTCAGATTAACAGGTTGATCTGACCTGATCTGATAAATTCAGATCAATCAATCATTATTTTTAAATGATGTTTTATCATTCTTAAACAATGTTTATCATTTGAGAATAATAATTTTATTATTTAAAAATAATAATTTTATTATCCAAGAATGCTGATTTTATCATTTGAAAATGATATTTTTATTGTTCTTAAATAATGTTTTATCATTCAATTAAATGATTTATTATTATTCTTGAACAATATTTTATTATTCAAAAATGATATTTTATTGTTTAAAAATGATGATTTATCATTCAAGAATAATGAATTTATCATTTAATTAGAACGATTTGTTATCATTCAATTAGAACAATTTGTTATTATTCTTTTTGAATGATAGCTAATTTTTCTTTTTGAATGATTTGATCAGATCAGGTCAGATCAGGTTAGATCAAATAACTAGGTCAGATTTTTATTTGACCTAATCTAATCCTTTCAGTTCAGGTAATTTGATTAATCTGACCTAAATTAACCTATTCAAAGCTCTAATAAAAATAATTATTAATATAGTTCTAACAAAAAAAACTGACAATTACAATTATCTTGTTCAGTTTTTATTAAAAAATCCAAAATTTTAAAATCTAACCCTTCAAATATACATAATAAAAATATAAAAATTTTAAAAATTTATCATATAACCTTGATTTTTTACTATCATTTTAAATACTTTATTATAAGCCTTATGAGATTAATATAAGTTTTTATTAATTACCTCCTATTCTTTCCTTATTAATCTCATAAAAATGTTTTACATAACTGATTTTTTCAATAATCATAATATTAACCTTCTTCTCAATATTTCTTTTCATTATTGTCTATAGATTTTCAATTAGATTAAGATCCAGAGAAGAAACAGCTAATTATAAACTTGAAAACAACAATTCTAAAACAAATGATTATAAGGTTAACTCAATATTTAGAATTGTTATTCTAATTTAATTGGTTGATCTGAATTTTATCAGGTCAGGTCAGGTCAGGTAAACAGGTTGATCTAACCTGACATTAACTTAAAAATCTATTGATCTGACCTGGATTTTCAGGTCAGGTCAGGTAAACAGGTCAACCTGACCTGATTCAAAGCTATATCTTCTTGTTAAAAGATAAGAATGAAAATTACTAATGTTATAACACTTAATCAATTCTTAAGTCATCTTAGAATTACCTTATATATGTTAAGAAAAATAGGTGTTGATCATGCTTTTAGAGTATATAGAAGTAAGAATGATACTGACCATTATATTTACGATAATTAATATGTAGGTATAAGATAGGTCATGTTTTTCAGTCAAACATTATGATGTAATAAATAATAAACCAATTATTCTAATAACTAAAAAAGAAAATACTGAAATGTCAGATATTATAGACCTATACAATTACTAATCACACTTCTTTGCTTTCATCACATGTATAGTCATTTTATCATTAGATCCAGATTCATTATCAGATTCAGATTCAGATCCAGATAAAGATAAGAATGAGAATTCAGATGTGGTATCGTTAGCAGAGCAAGTATCAGAGGTACTAAAAATTAACTTTTTTTTAGCCTTATATGGTATACAATTTCTTTGAAAAATATTTGGGTTTGCTATATCTCGAAGAGACACTCCTAAAGGGCTCGAGTTTATAGCCACTTTGTGTCTGCAAAGCAATTTTTTGACAAATATTGGGTTTCATTATCTTCAATAATCAGTAAAGAAAAATCTGAATATTTTTATTTAATATTTGTTTAATAGTATAAGATGCAGTTTTATCAGCTTCGGTCATTGTAATAGTTGAATTCTTATTTATTAAATTACAAATTAAAAAGTGTAGAATTAAATATATTGTTATAATAAAATATCACAATGAAAATTTTATCTTGCGGAATTAGGCCTTTAAGCAATTCTATGAGTCATAAAGTACCAGTTACAGCTATATTAGATTACTGTGCTAATTGTAATATTATAGGTAAGGGTTTAGTAGATAAATTAGGTTTGAAAATCAATAACCCCATATAGAATCTGAAAAATCATCACATATATTAACTACAGGAGATAGTTAGCAATAATAGGGATCCTTTATGAAATAAATCTCTCTTTTCAATCCAAATATAATGAATTAAAGCAAGTAGAAGTTACTGATGTTTTCATTACCAATAAACCTGAACTTGAATCTGTACTAATATTAGATCAGCTGTGGTTCCAGGAAAATGCAATGAAAGTAGACTTCCCAAATAAAACTCTTACATTACTTGATGGAACTAGTTGCGAGGTTAAGTATAATTGAGAATATCCAGAAATGCATATTATATATGCCTAAAATTAATTATCCAAACTTAGTTATTTTTTTGGTTATATTATACATCATTAAATAATATTTGACATGGTTTTATATAAACACTCGTAGAAGAAAAAATCCCAGTTAAAGCATTAATTGATACATCTTCAAAATTTAATACTATTAGTAAGAGCTTGTTCAATAGGCTTAGAACTGATCATGGAATAAGAATAACCTGTGATCCCGTTAAAAACCTCTATAAAGATGCAATAGGTGAGATTTGTTGTTTGGATTTACAATTCCAGTATAAAGGAACATACCATAGCTTGGATAACACTGATGTAATAGACTTTGAGATTCGCAAGAATTCAACATTCGATCTAGTATTGGAATAAGGTTGATTATGGATGTATGAAGCAAAAATTATCTTTTGGTTTTCTCCCAGAACCTATGAATATCGTGATAAAATTGTAATAGATAATATGAGTATCCTATTAACTGATGAAGATTTTAACAAAGCTAGCTCCACTAAAATGACCCACCTAAGTCCGATTTATCAATAGAGGAGATCACGAAAATGATTAAGAAAATTCTCTCAGATGCCCAAGATTGGTATGATTTCGATCTGATAAAACCCGAAAGAATCGCGTCCGTATTTACAAAGAAAAAGATTGTCTCTCCTATCTGAAAATATCGTAAAAATAAGCCAATTAGAACGAGGTGATCATTAAACCAAAATTATTATGAGTGAGATCGTCATAGAAGTTCATGTAACATACGTGATTATCTACTGTATTAAATAATTAATCATCATCCGAGACCTTTGGATCTCGCTATGTCTAGCTAAAAATTTGTACGAATTGAGTATGAATTTCTTCTCATTCTTTCATCAGATTGTCTAGCCAGTAGTACTTAACCACTCTTTAATATACTGCGATGTAATAACTCTTCTCCGATTAGCCTATCCCGATCGGTTAAAAATTTACGATATTTTCTATTATCCTCCTGCCTCTCTATTCCACTACGATAGAAGCGTATATCTCTTTCTAAGTCATCACGGAAGCATCCATGTCCCATTGATTTTTCTCAGCCTCAGTAATAACCAAAAATTTCTCAGGATCTATTCCATGTTCGATGTCATATTGATAAAGGCGGGTTTTGTTTGGATGAATTGATAAGTTACTGATTTTGTTTAATACCCTTACTTGAGTTTCTGGCAAACTCTGTATGGAAATAATAACTTTCTTTTGATCGATACGAAAAGGGCAATTAAGAAAATAGTGATCATTTTTATCGAGACAGCTCCAATCGCCCCATATACCTCGACGTGTATGTACCTCTTTACATACAGGGCATTTAGCTTCTGAATTGGTATATTTAAATACATCTCGATGCCATGTATTTGAATTAATGTAAGACAAGAAAGGGAAGCGTTTATGTACTGTTTCATAGATTATACTTTTTCTTCTGGAAATTTAGAAATTTTGATAACACAATCCTGTGAAAGGTAATATCGGTATTTCAATTTGTGAGGGTTCAGGGGTTTCAAACATTATTCAGAGATCAAGCCCAGTCTCTTCTGTATACGCTCTATATAAGCTCAAACGAATTTTATCTGTCAAATGACTCAGTGAATCAAGCAATTTAACATGTCAGTTCAAATATTCAGCGGTTAAGACACGAAGTGTCATTTCTTCGAAATAGGTTTTATCATGTTATTGTTTATATGATCGCAAATTCAATTTGAGTATGAGTTGTGACTTATTCTTTGGCAATTAAAAAAATAAATATCGTTAATTAATGAAACCAGAGAATTTGCCATAGGTAGTCACATAGTGGCTATACTTGAATGACTTTACGATTTATTCTGTTATTTCGATTTCACACTTTCCACATTTAATAAAATAAGATCCAACTTTGTATCTACCTTTTACACTTTTCCTATCTTCATGATTTGATTTATATACTGGGCATAATAATCCCTCAATAATATCAGAGTAATCAAACTTTTCAGTAATAATGTTTTATATAGATCAGAATATCGCAACAATATCTTATTACGAAAGTAATCATGGTCATGAGTTGAATTATTTTGTTTCTCGGGTAAGGTCTTCTTGAGCTGAGATGTAGATGGTATACTTGCCTCAGCCTTCGGAAAATCGCCTGAACCTGAAGAATTAAAGATATGAGTTAGAGGAATAGGTGATGTAGCTGAAACACTCACCTCTACATTAATCTGATCGTGACAATTTTTGAAGTCACCTCATTTATAATATGTTGAATTTGAGTTTTTTTTAATCCTGAAATAGTACTTGCACTATATGTAATGAGTTTTATCTTATCTGTACCTACTCCTTTCCCAAATAGCGTAAGAATTTTTCAAGCTCTTTCGCAAGTTTACATCTGTAATATTAGGTAGAAAAGGTTTCATTTCCTTATATATTTTTGATCTTACCGTTTTATCCTTAATCTTACCATCTGCTATGAGGCTTTTAACCTTATTTTCGAATTTCAAAGAATGATAATACCAATTTAAAATTTGTTTCTTACCTGATTTAATTGCTTTATCAAATAAGTTTGATAAACTTTACACAGAATCCAGAGCCATATCCTCACCATTATTTGAATATAAAGGATTGATTTTAGAAGAAACAATATTTTCTGCTTGATCATAGGATATCTCTTGTATTAAACCTTCTACGATTTGATTGTCTGATTCAAGTATTTTGGAGGGAGTATCAGAATTGTTAAGATCGTGATATTTTGTCACAGTTTTTGCATCACATAATGATAAGAATATTATTGTTTTTTCAAATTCCGTTGAAGCATCCTGATTAACTAAAGATAGGTCTTGATCCTGAGAAGCGGAAGCTTCATTACTATGTAATAGCTTTTTTTTTATATTCGTCTGCCTTATCTCATTACTAACCCTTTTCTTATTTTCTGAATTTAAAAAGACATCAATTTCTTTATCTTCAAATGATTTAGATTTTTTGGAGCAAGTTTAATTAAGGTTAGATGTATTGGAAATTGTGTTAACTACCTGTTCTGAAGTTACTAAATCAATGCTAGTCATAGATTGACCCGCTTTGTGATGAGTTGAAGAATCTTTATTCTGTGTATTTTCACCATTTGAGCAACTCTTGTTAGGTAATGGAGTGGAATATTCCGAAGATTTTAAATCATTAGTAACTGGTCAATTTTGCTTTTCAATATTCTTAACAGCTCGTTTTAATTTTGCAATTTCATTAATATCATAAATAAAAACCATGACATTTTGTCATCGGAATTATGAATACTTAGCAAAAATTATATTATGATTGTGGATTATAACAAATTTCGTGATGTTTCAATTAATATTCTGAAAATGAAATTAAAACTTTAAGCAATTACACTACTTGCATTTTTATTTACAATAATTGCATAACGTTTTACTAAACAGTTACAGTTGGTACGTAGTTTGCATTGCCCCAATTATCTATTTTAACTTCAATAGTTTCCACATTTTTTCTTTATTGAACTTGGTGAAGATGTACTGAACAATCTGGATTGCTCGCTGTAAACTGGAATTTTTCTTTTGCGATCTCTGTGTAAATGTGAGTCAGAAAGTGAGACACCATTTGTGTGATCACAAATTATTTTCAACGTAGACTGAATAATATGAATATAATAGTGAGATCTTATATATACCAACTGCAACGATAGTAAGCATATATTACCTTGATGTCCGACATAGTAGCATAAAAGCCTTCAAGAATTGCAAGCGTTTTTAAAGTATTGGGCATCTTTTTCTGAGAAAGCCTTCCTAAGCGTAATACATTTGTAGCCTTAAAGTCTATGCCATAAGTTTCATGGATCCACCCTTAACGTGAGAATAAAAGTGAGTTAGTCACAAAATTCAAAACTTAATTTATTATATTTTTTTACCTATCTCACAATTGAATTCTAAGAACATATGTACTATAAAGCTCATTTCCATATGCATTGGGATTTGTTTTAAAAAAATTATACAGAACATCACGCATTGCTACAGAAAGATCCACTCTATCCTCATGAATTTTTTTGCGATATGCAACAGGGAGACTATTACTTCTAAGGCCAATAATGGCTTCAAGGTTATTAATGCTGTTTTTCAAAGTACCCGAAAATCGCACTTTTGGCCTATGTGTGCTCGGAGGACTATTGAGCGTCCCTCATTTCTTCGACGGGCAGAAGCTCAATAAGCAATTTCCCCGCTATAGAATTGTAAAAAAATTAATTACTACTTAAAGATTTAGCCATTGTATTCTTATTTATACTTATACGTCCATTTTGAGATCACGTTTGTTTAAAAATCTTTTTGTTAACATATTTGGAAATGAATTGTCAAAGTCGGCTTCTGATATGAGAACTTCAAGATCCTTCAAATTTTCGGCACTGTGATAAAAGATTGGAAAATTTAGATAAAAATTATGTGATGTGCTGTAATCTATTAATTGCTCATAAAAGAAAATAATTATTATATTTAACTCACTAGGTAATAACAGCACGTTTTAATCTATTAAAGATCTCCTTATCCTCATCACTGAATTTGACTTTTCTATTTTTTCTATCATCTCCGGAGTCAAATCATCAATCACATTAATAATATATTCATCATTTTTTTTGGATACCTAAAATACAGTGTTAGTGCCATTTTAAAAAATGCTATAATAAGATAGATCTTTCATCAACCTTTTCCGCTTCATCGAAAAATATTCAACAACATCTGGTATGTCCAATTCAACTAATTTTACTTCTTTTTTAAAGCTTTCATTTATTTCTTTTCAGTCATCTGTTAAAAAAAAGGTTTTATTTGGATGTTTTCTATTAAATTGAGAATGTTTCAGTACGCGAGGCTATAAAGAAATTCTAAGTTTAAATATAATCATCACTAACTTTTATGACCTTCGCCAATTCAAAAAACTTACTTCAAACATATATAAGCCTCAGGAATTGTCTTAACATATTTTGCTAACTCGTCTCCAACGTTGATGAGTAGTTAGTTGATTTTTCTTCTCCACGTTCTATTATCACTGTCGCCATCATCGATACCATCTTTATAAACCTTGTCATCATTACCTTTGCTTATAAAAAATTCTTCGATTTCGTTTATATCTTCCTCTTTCTGATCTTCTTGATCTTCTTTACTTACACCTAAGTTGGTATTTTTTGCCAATGATTCGTCCTGTAATAAAAATTTTCATAATCGTTTAATGTTTATGGCAAGTCCTTTAGTTATTTCTGAATAGTAATAAGCTTACCTTGTTTAATGACAATATGTTTATCTCTTTGTGAAGATTAAGATTGGTACTATGTACATTATGACAAAGAATCTATGTAATGCAGAATTTTATCAATATTAAGTTAAACTAAGAGTCAGCAAACTGTTTTTTCTTGCATCTATGATTCTCAATCACGCAGAATCTTTTCATCCTATCAAAAAATGAAATCAGATTTAGAAGTATTTATAATATGGCAAAAACTTTAATTACATACATCCGCCGTTTCTCTCATTATTTTGAGCTTATCTTTTATTTCCTGATTGTTAGCCGTATTCAAAGCCAGATCAAGTGTTTTCCGATAATTATCAGACGCTTTAACTTTATGTGCTGGAAATGTATATTGAAAAAATGCAATCAGTGTTGGATCAAGACAAGCTAGCATCTAATTAATATTGCATTCGCTCTGAGTTAACTTGCACGATGATGATTTCATTCTTGAGTACAAAAAAATAGAAAGTTGAGTATCTTATTAAACAAAATACATGAAAATTTAATAAATTGGGCCGTTCTTTACATAGGGCCGGCTATCGCTGGATGATAACTCGCAATTGCTTGCTTCTGACAGTTTCTCTCTGTCGCAGGCGCCCTTTTGTATCAAACAAGCCCTCATAAAATCTGCGCAATGAAGTCAGCCGGCCATCGCTGGATGATGACTCGCCATTGCTGACTTCTAACAGTTTCTCTCTGTCGCAGGTGCTTCCTTCTTGCTTAACAGAAGCTATGCTCTCTATCACAGGCACTAAATAAGAGAAAACTGAGCCCTACCTGATTGATATGTTATTCGAAAGGCGGTGGTAAAAATTTTTTTACAGAGACAAAAGTAAATATTTACATGACACATGATATAATCCGTGACAAAATGTCACAATCAGAACTGCTGATCACAAATTAATACAATAAAAAACTTTTCACAAAGAATAGGGTAAGTATCCAGGTCAAATTTACAGCCATATTTAACGAAAGAAGAAAGAGAGAAAAACGTTCTTCCACGAAAATATACAATGCCCTGTCCAGCGGTCTTTTCGCAGTAACTGCTTAAAGCCAGATACTAAATAAGTTAATTATTCTTTATACAATGCCACCTATTTATCTTTTTTCAAACTTGAGAGGAAAAAGGTCCACACTCGCAAAATTCTATCAACATCAAAAATCTTCACAACGCACATCATTGGATAAATCGAAGCTTAAATCGAAGCTTGGCTCAATAAACAAAATCAGAAAAAAGATAGCTCCGTTGTAATTAGCAGTGGGAGCAGAAACAATTTTTCTAGTAGCAGTAATATAATTTTTTGATAACAGTAACAATGATAATGAGAATGATAGCTAATGTGAGGTAGGGAAAGGAGCTCTCATTTTATATGTAAAATTTCACCTACTCATAATTAGGGTTTTTTATAATTTTATTTAATTAAAGAATTAGGGTTAGTTAGAGTTGTCACCCATTATATGTCATATAGGTGCAAAATTCATTATGATTATTATAATTAAAAGTAAATTTTAATTAGATTATTAAAATTAAAAAATACAAATAAAATATATGATTTTTAATAAAATTTTATCTTTATTGGATTTTTTTTAAATTTTACCTTTTGCTATTTATATGACTTGCTAAATTTTAGTAATCTTGCTTACAATCTAATGGATAATATATTACATTTTATGATATATCGTAAAGTAATATACAAAATTACTACAATTATCTAAATAATAACCGATATTATATTTGAATGTAGCACAATTGTAACATCCCTGAAATTATTTTTAGTTACAAAATTTGGACCCTAAATTTTTTGCTCATATATCGTCCGGAAACTTTACCCGATTTTACCCAATTTTTATTATTACATAACCTTTTTTTTTCTAATTTATCTTTTTTTTAACAGATTCGAGAAAGTTTAACATTTGTTCATAGAGAAACTTTTAAGACACTTAAATAAACATGTCATCATTATACGGAGATCTCCCACCACCAACACATTCTTCACCAGGTGGTTCTGGAGAAAAAGAAGAAACTACTAAGCAACAATCTACGAGCGCTACAACGACTACTACGAGTACGACGTCTACGTCTACGTCGGAAACAACTTCAACTTCGAAACCGTCTAAATCTGCTCTCCCAGGTACAAGCAGATTCTGGCAAACCCAAATAAATACCGCAACTTTTATTATATAAATTTGAAAATTGGATCTTGTTTCAGACTTTTTTCACTTTATGCATGATAAATTTTTAAGTAGTATGTTACAATATATGATCGAATATCCCAAAATTTTTTTAAAAAAAAAAAAAAAAAAAAGAAAATTTCACTCACCTTTAAAATAACATTTCGTCAAAACCACCGAAAACAAATTAAAACGCAACGTTTTACTACCCGTATACAATATGCCGAAACGAATGCTTTTTTCAAGTTGGTTGGACTCCTGGAACGTTGCGTTTTATGCCTACAATTCAGAGAAAATCTGTAGTTCAATCAAAACCTAGGGCTTCTCGAGTTACAATTTCCTCTCCTCCGGTTCCTGCCACCACTACCACTACCACCACTACTACAACTTCCAATCTTTCGGTTTCGAATTCTACTTCTATCAATTCTTCTACTGCTAGTACTACTACAAGTTCTATTACTACTAATGTTACAGCGAATCAAACACCTTCGAGCCAACAACAACCGAATACTACCTTTTCAAGTCCTCCTCCAATCCAAAGTCATGTGTCACCTACTCAAGATTTGGCTTCTTCAATTGATAGTCGATTATCCATTGCTATGAATTCTTCCACAACCTCTCCTCCAAAACAAAATTTTTCCTCAGAAGATGTTAATGATTTCCAATCTGTTTTGAATACTCAAAGGAATCAGCGTAGTGGCTTTGATAAAGTTAATAACCATTCCTTTTATTTATTATTTTTGTATATTGTATTTTTTATAACATTATCTTATCGTATATCGTTTTTATATTTAATAGAAAAAATTAATTAAAGGCGGTAAAAAACAAGCTCCATTATTGCTGGAAGATGATTATGATCCTACTCGACCAAATGATTATGAAGAATATAAAGAATTGGAAAAGAGGCGTAGAGAGGATGAAATTTATCGTCGGCAGGAAGAACGTAAACGACAAAAATCCATGAGCCCTGAACGTGATAGACGTTCTCCACGACGTTAGTAACAAAATGAGATTTACTTGAAATTTAGGACATTAATGGAAATTTTTTTCTTGGCTTTTAGGTCATTTTCCGCCTCCACCATTGTTGTATGATGATTCTCCACAAAGTGAAATGGATAACACTCCCCCTGTTGCTCGTTCTCCGCCTGCTAAAATTGATTTAGATATGACCGGTGAAGAAGCCTTTTTACGAAGGGCTCGATTAAGCAATCGTGCTCATGAGGAAACTTCAAAGTAATTAAATTTTGATTTGAAGAACCTGGCAGCCCAAATGTTTAATTATCCTATCATTATATTTACATTGTAGATCACCTGAATCTAAGTCTACGGCTGGTCTAGGATCTGGAGAAGAGTTTGCTCATAGAATGTTGACTAAATTAGGCTGGCAAGAAGGACATGGTATTGAAAAAATTATATTTTATAAATTTATGATATTTTTTAAGGAAATATTTATATCTTATATTGCCTTTAAATAGGATTGGGTAGGAATGAACAAGGTATTAGTGAGCCATTAGCGGTTCAAAAAACTGATGTTAGATCAGGAATTATTGTTAACAACAATCCACCAGGTATGAATCATATTGAATTTATAAAAAAAAAATTTTTTTTTTTTAAATTTTAAACTCAAATATCGCGTTCATTCCTCACTTTAGTTAAATCTGAAAGAGATAGTGAAAATTCTGCTAGGTATTTCCCAGACACTGAACTTCCTTCTAGAGTGATCTTACTAACAAACATGGTAATATATTATTATTTTATAATTAATTTTATACTTAAACGTTTTTCTTAGAGAGAAAAATTTATCATTTTTCTAGGTTGGGCCTGGTGAAGTCGATGGCACACTTCAAGAAGAAACAGCTGACGAATGCAACGAGAAATACGGAACAGTTGAAAGATGTCTTATTTTTGAGGTACATATTTAATCTAACTTAAACCTTTAATAACTTTTTTTTTTTAATTTTATAACTAACTTTCTTTTGCATCTTTATTGCTTTGTTATAGGTACCACATGGAAAATTGCCGGATGATGAAGCTGTACGAATATTTGTAAAGTTTGAAGACATTGTAGCAGCAATTAGAGCCAAAAAAGATTTAAACGGTAGATTTTTTGGTGGTAAACAAGTTACCGCTCAATTTTTCGACGAACAGAGATTTGATAGATTAGATTTAGCTCCATCTCAAGCGGAATTACAAAGGTCCAAACAAAAAGAAAATTTAAAAAAATGAATGTTAATTAAAAGTTTGTAATGTTTGTTTTGTTAATGTTTGGTTTTTAAAGGTAATAATAGGGTCATTCCATTTTATATTGAATTTCCAGTTTTAATTTATTTTACCTTAGACTTTTTAAAGTTTAGGATATAAATATAATTATAGGATTTTTTTTTTTTTTTTTTTTTTTTTTGATTTGGTTATTATATATATTTATATTAAAGGATTTGTTCTTATCATAAAGGTTTTGAATTATTTTGACAAAGTACTAATAAATGAATAATTGAGCAAAACATTTGTTTTATTTTGTGCAATATGTATAGTTATTAGTAATAAATTTTTTATAAAAAAAATTAAAAACATAATTAAAACGCCAACTTTTTGTTTCTCCTTTAATTTAAAAAACACATATATATAACTTTTTTTAATCCCATCCACTAGAAGGGTTTTCGGCAGGTTCATCAGCCCAACTACCACCAGTAGTAGTTCGAATCGTAGTTTCGAAAGTAGTTGTTGTGGTTTCAAAACCATCATTGAATGCAGTTGCAGTTGTGGTTGTGGTGTTTGTATCACCCCAACCACCAGCATCGTCTGCGGGAGTTTCCCAACTACCACCACCACCAGTTTCTTCAACTGGTGCAGGAGGTGCAGGAGGTGCAGGTTCCATGGGAGTATCCCAACTACTTCCACCTTCAGGAGTGTCCCAACTACCACCACCAGCAGCTGCTGCGACAGCAACGGCAGCAGCAGTGCCACCTACATCTTCTAAAGGAGTATCCCAACTACCGCCACCACCGCCACCACCACCACCACCACCACTTTCATCTATAGTATCCCAACTACCACCACCACCACCAGTAGCACTAGCGGTAGCAGCTAAAGCAGGATTAATGCCACTAACAGCACCAGGACCTTCAGCACCCCAATCTGTAGCACCTTCATCCCAATTACCAGGTTCAAAACTAGAAAACCCTTTTTCAGGAGCGGCAGTAGTAGTTACGGCCGTTTCAGCATCTTTTTCAGCCTCTTCAGGATCTCTATAAAAGAACATATCAACCATAACGGACCATGGTATTTCACGTGGAATGGTAGCTCTAAGTCTTAATACTTCTCTTGCTAACATCCAGTAAATTAATCCAATCGAATGTTTTGCCTTATTATTTGTTGGAATTGATACATCAACAAATTTTAATGGTGAATCAGTATCGGCTAACGCAATAACTGGAATATTAACATATGATGCTTCGTTTATAGCTTGTTGGTCCGATTTTGGATCCGTTACTATAATTAATCTCGGTTCTTTAAAAGATCTAGTAATATAATTAGTAAATGTACCAGGTGTGAACCTTCCTGCGATAGGAAGTGCTCCTGTATATGATGCATATTTTAATACGGCTCTTTGTCCATATGGACGTGCTGAAATTACAACCACATCGGCAGGATTTTCAATAGCGCAAATAATTCGGGCAGCGAAAGTTAATTTTTCCCATGTTTTACCGACATTAATAATATGAACTCCTATGAAAGGAAGGAAAAAGGAATAACAAAATAAAATATTAAATTAAATTAATAAGAATAAAATTTATTGTTAATAATCGATTTGATTAAAAAATAATTAATTAAAAAAAAAAAAGTTAATTGATGATATTTAAAATAAAATAATTCCTATCTTACCATCAGGTCGACGTTTATGAACATAAGGAAGCATTTGAACATTCAAATTTTTGGCACCAATATGACACGTCGCCGAAAGAAGGAGTTGGATATCCTCCTCCGTGGCTATACAATTTAATTAACAAATTTTTTCATCAATTTTGATTTTTAATGAACCTTTAATTTTTTAATTAAAACGTTGAATATCATTTTGTTAAATACCGTTCAGGATAGATGGTACTTTTGACATCACTACTGTCTACGTTAAAAGGACAGTTTTTTCTTTTTGTTCGCTGATGTATCCAAAGAGGGAGAAAACTTTTTGATCTTAAATGACCTCATTTATAATGCAAAAAAAAAATTTTTTTTTGATTTATTACGTCATTCATTAGATTTCAGTATATCATGTGATTTAATAAAAAATATATTTTTTATTTATCTAAATGCTGATCATATACGAATGATACTATACAAAGAAACTGATTTTATAATGTTCATACAATAATAATAATAATAATAATAAAACTATAAGACTATTGAAAATCCTAAATAATTATGACATTTCAATTCCAATTTTTTTTCTAACACGATATAATAATATTCAAAAACATCAGTATAAATAATATAACCAAACAAAAAGTGATATCAACAATTTTAGGTAAATAATTGTGAAACTTTCAAATGTTTATGGAAAAAAAAAAAAGAAAAAAAAAAACATAGTTTAATCAAACTTTAATTATTCCCTTACCACGTTACAAAATTCTTGAAATTCAGTTTAATGATGGTGTGCGCTAAATACACTTAGTCACCAATGTTTATGTTTTTGTGGGAGGTACTAATCTTGTTATCGGAATAACAGTATCGGCTATAAAAAAAAAAAAAAAAATTATTTTATAAATGTTAAATAAAAAATTATACTTGATATTATCATTACCTATATTATGTTCGAATTCGAATGACTTGATTGCTGCTAAAGATGTTTAGTATAGTATTCATATCATATCATGTAATGTCTAATATTGAAAGCAAAAAAGTGTTTGAATTTATATAGTAGCTATGTTGATAACATTTTATAAGTATTCTTACCTTCAAAAAGAGTTAATTCCAATCATCGACTACTTTATCACCAACAGGTCCCCAACCATCATCGACCTTCTCATCTTTATTAGGTACTTCTTTAATTGCTTCACTTTTATCAACGTCTGCATAGAAAAAAGGAGTTGAACGTGACAAATTTTTGCTCAACAACATTAACGATTTACTACGATACCTTCAGCCCAATTAATTTTATCATCAGGATTATCACCCCAGCCTATATTATCTTAAATTAAAAGTTTTGCTAAATTATTAATATAACAACTTATGAATTCTAGCAAATTGATTATTTACCATTACTCTCATTCTCGATTTCATTTGGAGTTTCTGTCGTTTCCCAAGAAATATTGTTATCCTTTTCTGTTTGTTCTGCCCAGCTATTTCCACTACCGAATCCTTCCTCAGTGGTAGCAGATCTATTAGGGAAATCTTTATATTGATCGCTATATCTTTTTCCTCTCCAACCACCACGACCACGACGACGGCTACGACCACCGCCACCACCACCACCACCACGACTTCGTGCACGTCCTCCACGAGCGTTTCTCGATTCATCATATTCATTTTCATCCCGAGAAACTCTTCTATAGGAATTTTCATCACGAGAACCGTTCCTGTAAGAAGTATTGCCTCTGTCACGTGAATTATTATTTTGGTTCCGTGAGTCATGCCAGTCAGAATCATTCTTTTCCATATCCCATTCCCTGTTTTCACGGTTCTTGTTTTTGCGCATAGCATTTTCCTCACGCTCCTGACTTTTTAATTACAAAAAAAAGATATTAAACGATAATATATTTAGATTTTAAATTGAGCAGGAGATAAAAATTAACGAGATTAATAATCCTTATAACGCGTACTCAATTTCTTGCTGTAATTGTAACTGTTGAAATTCGTGGCGTTTCCTTTCTTGTTCCTCCTCTTCTTGTATCTTCTTCTGTAATTCCAGATTTTCCAATTCTTGTTTCTTTCGCTCTTCTTCAGTTTTTCGGAAGCTTGCTTCATCTTCCTCAGCCACCTTCCAAATTACAAAATAAGTTCATATATGGTTAATTAATTATTTTATTTGTATGAATAAATTATTTAATCATTACCTTGCGTCTTTTCTCCAATATCTCATTTTTGATCTTCATTTCTTCCAACTTTTTAGTCAATACGTCTTCATCCGGTTTCTAATAATTTGAAATAAAACTTATCAAATAAAATAGGCGTATTATGATAATCACACTAATTTGTAACAGGCTTACTTGATGGACTCCCCCTGATAATACTCGATCTTTATTAACATAAGGAACACTTTGAGTTTTGGGAGCATGAATGCTTTCATAAATGTTACCAGGTTTAGTGTTGACATATTTGGGTTTATCCTTATTTTTTTCATTTTCGAGAAGTAAATCATGATCTGAAAAAAAGAAATAAAAAATAAAAATATTGATCAAATTTAATAAATATTAATATATGTATAATAAAATTTTATTTTTATTTTTATAAGTAAATAAATAACTTACTCTCGCTGGTTTGAACTTCACGTGAAGATGATGGTTTATGGCCTCTATAATCATCATCTCTGTGCATTGGCGGTCCATCTCTTCTTCCTCTACCACCGGAAAAACCACCGCGTCCGCCACGTCCGCCACGTCCACCACGACGATTACCACGAAAGCTACGACCACCACGACTACCCCTAGGTCTATGATCATCTCGTCTTGAATAATTATTTGAGTAACTTTGTTGATCATTAACCCAATCAGCAGTTTTATCGGTTTCTTCATAACCGGAAGGATCCCATTGATCAACTTTATTCTCAGTGATAGTACCCCAACCTTCTCCAGAGTTATTATTATCTGGCTCATCTCCCCATCCAGTTACATTCACTGTATTATCTCCCCATTCATCTACTTTCACATTCTCTGGCTCATCTCCCCATCCAGTTCCATTCGCTGTATTATCTCCCCATTCATCTACTTTCACATTCTCTGGCTCATCTCCCCATCCAGTTACATTCTCAGGCTGCTTATCATCATTAACTGCTGCGTCTCCTACATTTTCGGGCTGCTTATCTTTATTTTCTACTGCTCCTCCTACATTCTCGGGCTGCTTCTTATTATTGTTATCTGCTTCTTCTCCCCATCCACCTACACTCTCAGGCTTAATATTATCATCTGCTTCTTCTCCCCATCCACCTATTTTAGCATCAGATGAATTTACGACCCAAGCCTCTGTACCCTTATTATTGATATCATCATCTTTATAACCATTACTTTTGTTTTGTACATCAGTCTCAGTTGCCCAATTGATATCCCTATTATGATTAATTGAAGATGAATTCCAGCTACTCACATTATTATCATTATCATTAGTTTTAGTAATACCCCAATTTTCTACTTCTTCAAAATTACTTGAGGAGCCACCCCAACCGCCAGAGTCCTTGTTTCTGGGTTCAGCTCCCCAACCACTTGGTTCTTGAGTAGCAGAAAACTTAGTAGCTCTGTTTTTATACGAGCCACCTTTCTTGTGACGTCTATCGTTATTTTTCGAACTAGAGTACTGTTCTTCCCAACTGTTCGAGGCACTGGTGGTATCCAAGTCTGAATTTGTAGGTTGCTTAGCAATCCAACCGCTATCATTTTGATCGTTTTTTTGTGACCAATTTTCAGTTTCATTTTCGGTAGGGGTTGCCATTAATACAACTTACTTTCCAAAAAAAAAAAAAAAAAAAAACAAAAAACTGACTGAAAGCCACACTATGTTTAAAGCAAATTGAATTAAAAGTAATAAATAAATAAAATAAATTTTTATTTTTAAATTTTCTGGAAAAACTCTCTTAACGTACACGTGATATCAAATATTATTAATGCTTTAAAAGGTAAAGTTCGTTGAAGATACCATCACTAATTTTGGCATTTCAATTTCCATTTTGTAATTTAAAAGTGTAGATTATCTAATAATTATGAAGCTGCGCTTGCGAAAAACTGCGGAAAAACTGCGGTCAAAACTACGGTCAAAACTGCGTGTTTGAAATCGGTCATGATAAAAGAAACCCGTCCCCATTCAAATTAAAGTGGCTCTCAAACTTTTTCGAAACTCCGAAATTCTGAGTTTCACTTAAGTTTTTGATAGTTTTGCTGTTTTTTTTTTCTCTTTACTTTTCTTTAATTTTCCTTTTCGTACTCCACTGATTAATAAAATGGCTGTTCGTAAGTAAAGTCTCTGAAAAATTCCAATAATTGATTTCTCAGAAAATAAAATAAAATAAATAAATAAATAAATTTTTTTTTTTTTTTTGTGCTTATTAATAAGGTGCACAATTTGAAAATAGTAATGATATTGGAGTTTTCACTCGTTTGACCAATTCTTATTGCTTGGTCGCGATCGGAGGTTCTGAAAACTTTTATAGGTTTGTACCATATAAAAAAATTTTTTAAATGATACGCGTTGATATATTAATTAAGATTTATTATAGTGTATTCGAAGGTGAATTGGGCGATGTAATTCCTGTAATTCATGCTTCGATTGCTGGTACTCGGATCGTTGGACGGTTAACAGTCGGTAAATAACGAATGTTCCTTAAAGATATATTATTAACCGTAAAGATTGAGCTCACAATTAAATCATTAATCACTTAGGCAATCGTAAAGGATTATTAGTCCCAAATACCACGACCGATCAAGAACTTCAACATTTACGTAACTCTTTGCCGGATTCCGTGCAAATTCAACGTATCGAAGAACGCCTTTCTGCATTGGGTAATGTAATTGCGTGTAATGATTATGTGGCCTTAGTGCATCCCGATATTGATCGAGAAACTCAAGAGATTATTCGTGATGTGTTGGGAGTTGAAGTTTTCACCCAGACTATCGCCGGAAATGTTCTTGTGGGAAGTTATTGCGCAATAAATAATCAAGGTGGATTGGTAAGCGACAAAAGGATTTACAATTCGATTGAAATTAATTCCTTAATAATAAATTTTTTTTTCACGTAGGTTCATCCGCGTACGTCTGTTCAAGATCAGGATGAATTATCTTCATTATTACAAGTTCCCCTCGTGGTACGTTAAGATGATGATTCTATGATTAAAAAGCACGAGTGTTTTCTAAGATTATTATGTTGCAAATTCATAGGCGGGAACAATAAATCGTGGGTCTGATGTGATTGGAGCAGGTATTGTAGTAAACGACTGGTGTGCATTTGCCGGATTGGATAGTACCTCAACAGAGATATCAGTAGTAGAAAACATTTTCAAGTTGCATGATGCACAACCGACTGCTATAGTCAAAGAAATGAGAGATTCATTGGTTGACACTTACAGTTAGATGATTATTATTATTATTATTATTTGAGATCAATAGTAATTAATTGGTTGAAATAGAATATTAATATAGTCATTCTATTTAATATATATCTTTTTTTTAAGTTTATCAACTTCACAATAAAATTTGTTACAATGATCGATTAAAATCGTTTTTGCTTTAAAACTATTGATAAATTTGATACCTATTTTTATTATGATTGGTTTTTAATTAAAAGTCCGTTAGTTGCACAAATGTAACCATTCTTAATTTTAAAGCGGACGGACTTTCGGGATCATTGTTGTGTCACACAACATCGACAATATATGGTTTCGACTAAAATTAAAAGATCATATGGCGTTCTAAATCAATTTTCCCCAATTTTCCCACATAAATTCGCCACCTTTTAATTCCTCCTTCTTCTCTTCTTTTCTTTTCTTTTCTTTTTTTTTTTTTTCGGTTTGTAAATAAAACCAATGGCATTAAGCCACGCAAAATATTTAGTAATGACAAATGCGGATATACTTCCGATAATTATATCCAACCTCGATCAGAGTTCTTTACTTTCTAGCGCACTAGTATCACGTTTATTCAACGAAATTTCTACCCAATTTCTTTATTCACGAGTTGAGTTAAAAAACGTTAAAGGCGTTGACACTTTCCTTGGCACGTTAAATCGTACCAAACACCGTATTTTATACAACACGATTCATACAAAGGAATTTCTCGTGAATAACATACAAAGCATTACGATGGATAGTCCAAATTTAGCATACATGTCAGGAGAAAAGTTAAGCAAAATCATTAAAGAATGTGAAAAAGTGAGGGAGGTCGTGATCGGGAAGTGCACTTTGAGTAAAAGTATTATTAATTCAATTGCACAATTGGAAAAGTTGAGTATATTGAAATTTAACAAATGTTCCGTTAATGATACTAATATACTCAACCCTTTGATTTCCGAGTCGAGTGATATTTCCGATGGGAAAAGTTCGGAATCGAATCACATCATCACCAATATCAATACAAATACCAATAAAAGATATTTTGGAAAGAATTTAAGAAATATCATTACAACGAAATTATTAAACAAAAGAAGACAACCTTTTATCACGATTAAACCTAATAAAGTTGATAATGAAATCTCATCAATTCCGGATCCTATTTACAAGTCCAACTTAACCAATTTAACACATTTAACGATCGATATACAACCGTCATGTTCATCTCGGTTCTTAATCTCGTTGGCGTGTCAAAATAAAAGTTTAAGATCCTTGGATTTGCAATTTCAAGGGTTAGACGATTCGTTACTTACGATTACACAAAATTCCCTTAACCTTCAATATTTAAAAATTACTGAATGTAAAAATTTGTCCGAACAGACCATTTTACAATTAATTCAAGATAATTTTTCCACTCCCAATACCAAAGATCGATGTAGGCTAAAGGAATTATTAATAGATTACGGTCCTTTCTCGGAGAAATTCTTACTTTCATTATCAAATTTATGCAAGACACAACGTAAAATTTCAGTAATCAAACCTCCAGCGAATTATCATGGTTATGACTTAAAACTTTATGATGATTCGTTAGAGATATCTATCGATCACAGCGAAGACATTGGGAACGTTTTATTAAAATTCTATTTAAACATTGGTACATCAGCAGTAGAAGAACACGTGGGCAAGAGCAACACCATCAACAATGCGATGGAAGAATTGTTGTTGGATGGAATCCAAGTTTCTCCAAACAGCTTAAATATTATTTGTCAACACCTTGTCCTTAAATCATTAAAGTTACAAAACATACCAATAACGTTTAGTCGATTAACAAAACACGATATTATAAATAGCATTAAATTATCAACTAATTTATATGAATTATTTGTTACCGAAACGTTACAAAGTGATGATACTAACAAGAATTATAGTTTGAAATCATTGAATTATAGTGATTTTAATGAATTGGCTAAAAATTGTCCAAATTTAAAGAGAATTTATTGGAATCATAAATTATTCGTTGATAAATTTACGATACATTCTAAATTTGTACAATTTATTGATATTTAAAGATCTTCTTTTACCAAAGTTTTTATTACCCTTTGATGACTTTAAATGAAATTAAATTCGGATCCGATTGTAAATATTTCTCATCTTGTACCAAACTTCTCAATGTTTTCTTAAATAAATTTCTAACTTCTTCATTAACCTTTTTCTCGGAATTAAATCCATCTCCTCCTTTCGAATGTAAGATTTTGATTGCAACTTGTTGTAGTTCAGCTACTTCAATAATTCTACTAAACCTAAATTCATTTAGTTCATTGTTTTTAATGTATTCTTTAATGCGTCTCTTCAACGTTTCACTATCCTTTGGTTTGACTGATGATGTCTTCATTTTTTTTGAATAATATTCTGATATATTATTCCGGTGAACTTTATTGGTTGGTTTCACAAGTGAGATTTCTCGTCCCGGATTTTGATGGTGTGAGATATTGTACTCTCTGCAATATACGTGATTTTTTAAGTAAAGTATTTCAGTCCATCTAAGTAATTCTTCATTCGGATCTTCAAGTTTTTCTATCATTTATAAGATATGTCCGATTTCATATTACGAAAAAAAAAAGAAAAAAAAAAAAATTATATATATATATACATATACGTATATACTTCCTTTATGATTATTAAAATGATTATTATTATTATTATTATTATAAAGACATTTCATTCATTCCTTCAAACTTAAAATATACTCACCCATATGACGGATTTTAATCTCTCTCTTTTGATTAAATTCATTAATTACTCCAATCACCCTAACCAACTCTGTTAGGTTAAATTTAGTATTTTTAATAATGGATGATATTTGTGGTGTAGAACAAATCGAACTACTTCCCGATGAACTCGTTGGATCACCTCGCTGCTGCGTAAAAGATTTATCTTCTGGCGCGAACGCCACGCATGCAATGGTAGATGTCCCGTCGTCAACTATATTATCGTCGTCATCGTTGTCGTTGTCGTTGTCGTTGTCGTTGTCGTTGTCGTTGTCGTTGTTGTTGTTATTATTGTTGTTGTACGCGAAAATAAAAAAGGTTGACTTTAAATATGAAACGCGTACGATGCTTATCAAGAAAGAATATATATTAATTTATATTTACGATAATATTTAATCACTTTCTGTTTAATTATATCAATGGCTCTAACTATCCCAATGATATCAATAAGTTGCATTGACCTTTTCGTTTTACCATAGTAAAATACCGATACTTGTTTTTCCGTTCCTGTACTTGCAAATAAACATGCGCACTTTACATAAGCTCACAAAAAAAAAAAAAGACTTTTTAACGTAATGAATAGTTAAACCTACCAGTTTTACCATCAATTATTTGATGTTGAATACATGTTAAATTAAATATGTCTTTAATAAATAATCTTACTTCGGTATTATATAATGGATCATACGTCCATATTTGCTTCTTGAAAGTATTCATGGTAGTATTCCCGTTCACAAAATTAGTCGAAAAGTTGAGATAGTGTTAGCTTGAAGAATGGTTCTTCGTTGGCTCTTGTCAAATGTTTATGCAAGCTAAAGGAAAAACGAACCAGGATATAAAAAAGAAATTGCGTAAAAAGAATTTAAATAAACCTGATTTATATAAGAAAACAATTCGTTAATTCGATTGGTGATGATAATCAAATTTAAATTTCCTTAGCATGTGTACATTATCCTTTTTAGTAAAATTCAAAAATTTATGCGGAAATTAAATTTAGCACATTTGAAATTTTTTAAACACTGCTTCAAATCATAATTTTTTTATTATATACAATACATTATTGTAAAAAAAGTAAGAGCATCCGTAAAAACAATACATAACAACAAAAAAAAAAAAACGATATTTAAATAAAAATGTAAGATAATAATTTAGATTTTTTAAAAAGGTTTATAAATAACTGATGGAACGGGATTCGTTTGATAAAATTCTATAGTTTTCTTTACTTTATCAGTAATATTTTCAACCGTGAAGCCATATTTCTTATAAAGTTGTTGATAAGGACCGGACGAACCAAAAGTCGTCATACCAATATTTGCATGAGCATATTTTGACCATCCAAAGGTTGCGAGTGCTTCAACACTTAAAATTGGAATACCATCAGGAAATACTGATGATTTATATTCAATACTTTGATCTTCAAAAAGTTCAAAAGATGGTAAAGATACTACGCGTGTTTTAATCCCCTCGGATTCCAATTTTTTTGCTGCTTCAACTACAATTCCCATTTCGGATCCAGTGCCAGTTAAAGTAATTCTCGCATCCGTGCATTCTCTCAATACATAACCACCTTTAAGAGTATTCTCAATAGAAGAACCTTCTAATTGAGGCAAATTTTGTCGAGAAAGACAAAGTACTGACGGTCTGGTAATATTGTTAATCGCTGCAAGATAAGCACCCGATACTTCATTACCGTCGGCTGGACGGAACACCAAAATATTTGGCAATGCACGTAAACCTGCGACTGTTTCAATCGGTTGATGAGTGGGTCCATCCTCACCTGTTATATTTAGAAAGAAGGTTAATCATGATGATCACGTGTGAATCACCTCATTCCCCCAATAAAAGTTGTCACAATTACTTACCCAATCCAATTGAATCGTGAGTCATTATATAAAGAACACGGAATGAAGAAAGGGCTGACAATCGCACAGATCCCAACGCATAACTGATAAAGTTCAAGAAAGTACCACCGAAAGGGATCATGCCCCCGTAAGAAGTAATACCGTTCATTGCACCAGCCATACCATGTTCACGAACACCATATCTTACGTAACGTCCTGAATATTTACCCAACCCATTTGAATCGGGTTGGAAATCAACCGCGGATTTCCATCGCGTCAAATTCGAACCAGTTAAGTCTGCCGATCCACCAAAAAGTTCTGGTAAGACGTCGGCGATTTTATTCAAAACATTTTCGGATAATTTTCGAGTAGCGACCGCGGGATCAGACGGCGTATAACGCGGTAAATGTTGTTCCCAACCCTCCGGCAATTTATTGGCGAATCTACGTTTGATTTCACCACCCTGTTAAGTGATTAGATTATAACTTTTTTAGCCCATCACTTTTTTTCCCTCGAATAAACCGGAGTGATTTAGATTTAGATTTACCTGTTCAGGGAATTCGGCGCAGTAATTTTCCAGAAGTGTATTCCATTGAGCTTCGGCTTTTTTACCTTTTAGACGGAATTGACCATAGTAATCATAAACCTCACTAGGTACGTAGAAGAATTTTTCCGGATCGAAACCGTACAACGTTTTGATTTTGGCGATATCGTCAGGTGCCAATGGGGCACCATGAACTTTCTCAGTACCTTGATTTTTTGAGCCAATACCAATGATGGTCTTGATCTTGATAAGTGAAGGCTTATCTGTCACTTTCCTGGCATTTTCAACAGCGTCGGTAATGCTTGCTAGATCATGATCACCATCCGAAACCACTTGGGTGTGCCATCCGTAAGCTTCAAAACGTTTGCAAACATCTTCGGTGAAGCTCACTTCCGTATCACCTATGATTAAATTGCATACAAAATTACAAAACGTTTAATTTTAGAGCAGGATGACTAAATCTCAATATACCATCAATGGACACGTGATTATCATCATAGAGAACGATCAGATTGCCGAGTTGCAAGTGTCTGATACAAAAATACTGATTAGCAGATCATTTCGATTAAAAATTTAGAAATTAAGAAAAATTTTATCTAAATGTCTTACCCAGCAAGGGAAGCTGCTTCGGAAGCAACACCTTCTTGAAGACATCCATCACCGCAAATCGCGTAAGTGTGATTTGTGAACAAGTCAAAACCAGGTTTATTGAAAGTAGCACTGAAATGAGCTTGGGCCATAGCCATTCCTACGGCATTCGCAAAACCTATAAAATTGGTAAGAAGAGAAATCAATTCTTGATCGATATTAAATACACGTGATGACTTAAATCAATTATCTGACATTATTACCTTGCCCAAGTGGACCGGTGGTTACCTCAATACCATCAGTCATGTGAGACTCTGGGTGACCAGGAGTCCTAAAAAAAAAAGTTAGAATCTTACCTAGACAAAATTAAAGAAAGTTGGATAAATGTTACAAAACATTGATACTCACTTGCTGTCTGTTTGACGAAACGCTTTTAGATCATCTAACGTTAGATTACATCCCAATAAATGAAGTAAGATATATTGCAACGCGCATCCATGACCATTGGATAAAACGAAACGATCACGATTAGGCTGAAAAAGACAAGCGTTATTAATATTAAGTTATGCAGGTTTCCTTAATGCTGATCAACGATTTTTAAACTTGACCAACTAATCATAATTTAGGCCCAAAAATTTTTTTACATTCACTCGAGCAAAATTTTTTTTTGTTTCACCATTTAACTTCAACTTACCCATTTCGGATTTTCCGGGTTGGACGTAATGAACTTTGAGAAAAGAACGTGAGCCATAGGAGCACAACCCATTGGAGCACCTAAGGAGAAAGGGGATTCATATTTTTCATGAGTCGTCGGAATTGTACACAGTCATTTCTTTTCATAATGTATAAAGTACTATGTCAACCCCCAAAAAAAATTCGACAAGTGAATATTCAAACGTACCAGGGTGCCCAGAATTAGCTTTTCTTACAACATCCGCAGCAAGCGTACGAATAGTGTTAATAGAAAGTTGATCAAGTGAGCTAGACATTTTCTAAAGGACTTTTATTATTATTATTATTTTTTTTTTTTTGAGGTCGTTAAAGTTCGTTAAAGTTCGTTAAATTATCCGACAATCTCGCAAAAAAAATTTTTTTTTTTTTTTTTTTTCAGAAAAAAAAAAAAATCCAAAACCCAGAATTTTTTTTTTTTGCGTTTTATTTATGTTTGATATAAAAATTTGCTGAATAATTTAAAAGTTTAGGATTACCAACTATATAAACGTTTTTGTCAGGAGATTCATAAAAAGTAAGATTACAATAACGATAAAGTACGTTAGATTAATTCCTCCAATATCTAATTAAATCTTTTCACCTATTATTAATCAATTGAAATTAAAAACCATGATGATCAACCATTGTTTCATCTATATTTCTAACTAATGAATGAATATTACTCATAACCCAAATTCAAACTAACTCGTTTAGATTTTTGTTAGTTAAATGAAACTTGTTTGAACAGGTTACATTAATTATTCCACGATCACTTGATTTGTCATTATTTAAATAAATGAACACTCTACGCTACGCATGTTTATTAAATAATTGTCAGATCTACCTATACGATCGAATTATTAATAATTTTATGAGACCGAATGAAAAAGAAATAAAGAAAAAAAATCACTGTGATACAAGGTAACGGAGAGAAACTAATAATTGACGGGAGTGTACAATGAATGAATCCCTTCTTTATATTGTGACATAAAAAACTCTATGTTTTAATGATATATAATTATATATGATATCCCATAATAACCATTATTTAACAAAAATTTTTTTTTTTTTAATAATTATTTCACCTATAAGGAGCCCAAATTTTTACCGTTTGATCCACAGACCCCGTTGCCACCACGGGGTTACTCGTATTAAAAGCGATACACGTTACAAAATGTGCATGCGCTTCTAGAGTTTTTGTGCATCGACCAGTTTTCGTATCCCATATTTTAACAGTCTTGTCATCAGATGCGCTGAGAAGAAACTTGCCAGTGGGGTGGAATACTAACCCACGTATCCAATTATCATGACCCACCTATACGTATCATCGTATAAAAAGGTAAGTAACAGATTACGTTTACTTTGTCAAGGCGTTGCAAATTTCTTATATCATACCAGTGTCTTTACACATTGACCTGTTGAGTCCCACAGTTTGATCGTTTTATCCCTTGAACCAGTCACAATATATTGCGCGGGAATTGGTTGGTCTCTAGATGTCGCTTTTGGCTATAGATCGTTTATGTCATAAAAAAATTTTTTGATTTCATTAAAAATTTGAACTCTTGATAAATTAATAACAGAACAAAAAAGGAAAAAAAAAAAATCGGGATATATACATCTTTATCTATACCTATCAATTCTCGTATGAAAGGATAAGCGATGACAGGAACGAAAATTGCACATTCTACAACGTGATCATGACCTCTAAAATCCATCTTGCATTCTCCAGATGATACTTCCCAAAGTCGAGAAGTCTTTTAATTTGATAATAAATACATCAGACTTTTTTTTGCAAAACGTAGTAATAATATAATTTACTAATTTCTAATATTTTTTTAAATAAAAGGGCTGACCTGGTCATTCGAACTGGTTACAATCCACTTGCCATCCTCACTTGGGGATACCATCCGTACCCATTCCAAATGTCCAGTGTACGTTTTTACACAATACCTATTTGAAAAAAAAGAATTTAACCATTAGGATAAGGGAATTAAATCAATTCGGATCAAAAGAAAAGCAAAACGAACCCAGATGCCATTTCCCAGAATTTAATTGTTTTATCACGAGAAGTTGAAATGATAATGTCACCAGATGGTAGGAATGTAACGGATGAAACGCTATGATCATGCCCGTAAAGAGTTTTAACACATTTGTAATCATTCTGCAAGTCCCACACTTTTATCGTCAAATCTGCCGAGCAAGAAACTAAAAAAAGACAACTTGTATATTTAACACGTTGAAATATATATATCCAAAGTTCACGTAAACGTCCGAAAAAAAGGTCACCTAAAAAATTGCCTTTTGGATCAAAAGCTATGTCTTGAACCGCTTTGGTGTGCCCCTTAAGGGTTCTTTCGAAATCACCAGTCTCATAATCCCAAATTTTTACGGTAGTATCTTCCGATGCGGATGCAATTACAGAAAACACCGGATGAAACGTAACACGTGTAATAGGATTTCTGTGACCAGATAACGAATATTTTTCTGGTGCACGTGGCACCCAGTCAACAGCGTTGTTTGTTTTTCGAATCGGTGCATTATTCAACTCTTCTTGCATTTGTGTAATTTTATTTTCCAAGTCCATAATCTAATTAAAAGGACGTAAAGATTTTTAATGAAATCTCAAAATAAAAATCCAATACACTAATGATTATTCCAAATGATTCATTCATTCTTTTTTTCTCTTTCCTTTTTTTTTTTTTTTTTTTAAAAAAAAAAAAAAGGTTTCATCACGGTCAAAATTTTTTTTTTTTGGATTAATGTGTAAAATATTCAATGACCAGACAAGATGAAATCCTACAATCTCTGATACCTTTTTTTGTAACCGAATGACTGAAGTCCATTTCTTTTCCAACAAACCGGCATATTTTTGCTTGGGATCAGGATTAAAATCTTCTTGCTTTGATTCCTCTTTAAGGGAATCAAATGAAGTAGTATATCCACTGGAAAATAGATAATCGAGGATGGCTTTGTGACTGTTTATTATCAAAGAAATAAAATATTATACACACAAAAAGCCCAAGATTAATAATTTTCTTATTAATAAATAAATATCCAAAGGCATTCGAGGCATCGACGTATAAACAATAAAAAATCATAAAAATGTCTGTGGCGAGTAAGTTGAGGGAATCCACGTGTTGCGTAAGATATCCTTTGGTTACACTGGAGTAATTTGTTTTCCACCGAGACTAGATGTGGAGAAAGTTTCTAAAATTGTAAGCTTGACAGGCGAATTAGAGCATACTCACAGCTCGTCCCTTTGGCGATCTGACAGTACAGACATGATACGTATGTGGAACGAGATGGGCAAGTTTTAATATTTCTTCTTTGACGATATCAGATATTACGAGCCTGCACTGAATGAAATAGTTTTTATTTTATTTTTAATTTTAATTTTTTTTTTTATTTTTTTTTTTTTTTTGGCTGAGGATTTTATAAACGAGTAAATTCTCGGTGAAAAAGTATAAATAATATCAGTGGACCCTGTCTGACGGTGATGATCTAGATTGTTTCGTACCTCTCTTAAAGAAATCTTTGATGTGATTGGCTGAGTCGCGAGTTAGAAGTTCACAGAACAACGAGTTTGTGCCACCAGATTGTCGCACTATAAGAATGTCTTTCACATGCCCCCCTTATTTTGGAGATGTTGAAAGATTAGAAATCGGTTAATGAGGATGTTACGTGAGAGGGGGGGTTTTAATTTTTGAGGTTTGTTTGGTTCCACTCGCGCTAAAACGAAATCCCAGCGCGACCGTGACATAATTCTGGGGTTATGTTTGACGGAACCAGAGTCATGTGAGGTAGTTAAATTAGTACAAATAGGGGACATGTGAAAACACCCATTGTCACAAAGTGTCACGATGCGTGACACATGCAATTAGGAATAGCACCGCATCTTCGTTCCTAGCTAGAATCAGCAAAGTTAACCAGCCTTCACTTACTTGATGGCAAAGGTGAAAAGTGGCACAGTCAGTCAAATCACGCTCGTCAATTTTTTTTTTTTTTTTTTTTTTAAAAAAAACAATGTAATGTCTGACATATGTTAAATCTGATAATGGTTCTATTGTTTATTGCATAATGTTAAATTACGTAAAAGGGAATCACAAAAAAAAACCCCACGATGTTTTTAATATAATACAAAGCGTGGCGAAATGGTATTCGCAGGCAAAAGCTAAAATGTGGTTCAAAAAAATAAAAAAACATCGGAGAAGAATATAATGAATGAAAATTTTGTCATTATTCGCAGAAAAAAAAAATAAAAAGCACGGATGACACTGCAGGATGCCATCAAAAAAAATTTTTCTGAATTCTATTCTTGGAAAAAAAACATTCAAATCCCCAACCTGAATTTCCCAATTATTTGAAAATGACATTTAATCTGAATATGTTGATTTTAGGTATTGTACTATTCACCCCAATCCTTTTGTTTTTTGTTTGTTTTCATTTAAGATATTAGCCAAAAAATAATATCATTATTATTATTTATTATTATTCATATTATTGAAATAATAACGATAAAAAAAAAAACCTTAATTTGATTCACAGATCGCCGCAGTGCAATTTAAAAAAAAACTTGGAAGAAATAAAAAATCCTCCCATCGGAAAATTGGTAATTCAGTCCTTGATGGCTCAATTTATTTTTTTTTTTTAAAAAAAAAACACTCGTAAGATCCTGCAAGGAACTGCAGCTTGTCCGCAAAAAGAACATATATATTTACATCAATTGATGTAAAATGAATATTCGAACGTGTAAAATGAATAAAGATTCGGATTCATTCTGGTGCATGACACCGATGTGCATATTCGTCTTGAATGTTGACATGCTTATATACATGTACAATATATCACACAATGTTAATTAAGTTGAGCGCAGTGTTTCTTTTTTTTCTTAAAATTCACACGTTAACAATTCCAAGTCATTTAGGTTGAATATATTTTCCGATAAAATGAATTTTTTTCAATGTTCACTTTAGAAAAGGAAAAAAGAAATTTCTGCATATGCGCCCAATGCCTGTGCGCTCAGATTGCTTTATGCACGGTCTCGTTTTGTACAATCTACTTATTTGAACGTAATATGTCCAAATTTACATATTACTTCAAAAAAAGCCATTGAAAAATTTGAATGCAACCTTTTTTCTATATCGCTAATGTTTTTTTAATTTTTTTTTTTTTTTTGCTTCGAATTTCGATTAAGTCTAATAATGGGAAATCCTATAATAACCCCAGACGATATTAGCGATTAGAGAGATTTTTTTTTTATTTATACAAACAAAAAATCTTGCGGATGTTTGATTTTTTTTTCTCAAGATGATTGGATGTCTGTCCTGTCACTTTTTTCGGTAGGCCATGTGTTTGGATGTTGCAGCAAGCAGAAGCGATGCATCTTTGACTCAACCATATGGTTAAGCAAGGTACAATAATCACCTTCTCAACTTACCAAATACAAATCATTCGCTTTTGTTATTAAATCATATAAAAGAATACATAATAAATTAAAGTTTTCATTAAATTTTTCGGTTCTAATTATTACGATTCCAGTCTTAATGTCTCGTAATATCGAAACATTTTGTTTTGCTATCAGATCAATTTCATTCCTTATAAACACATAACTTTTTATTATTATTATTATTATTTTATTCTTTCACAATCTCAATCCATCTAAATCTGAACATATTTTCCTTTAAAAATCATATTTTATAGTATTGTTATTTTTGTCATTTTTTATTCGATCCATTTTTTTTTTTTAATTAAGAAGAAAAAGAATTTACATAAAATATAGTGTGAAAGTGTCATCCCAATATGAGTACACAAATTTTTATCACACTCGATTGATCGATTGCACAATCATACTTCCTGGCCCGTTTATCTTATCTATTGATATATTTTTCGTGATGAATTGAAAATTTGATCGCGATATTTATCACGTGTTCAATAACTCGCGATCGTCAATACTTTCTCGTCTGAAGTCCATGACGTCAAAATATGATTTTACTTTCCTTCAAGGGAAATACCTTGTAGATCAGAACGCGTTAATGTGTTAAGATTATCAAGTTAACTGCCGGTTGGAACAGTCAGGAAGGACATTGGACATACAATGGACATTAAATGACTTCATTGGATGACTAAGTTAAAATCTCAATACACCGGAATTTTTATTAATGTACCCCCTCTGTATATTATAGATCATATTTTCAAAATCGAAATTGAAATCTCCACGGAATAAGAAATAAGAAAAATTAAATGATCTTTCATAATCTAATAAATTTTGCTTGTACAAATCTTCTATCGACACATAATTCTCTTGCTCTATTGATGGTTTCCTTTTCAACATATTCGCCACTAATCATTCGAAACAATTTATCCTTTTCAAATAAATCCTTGAGATATTCAATGGTGAAAAAATACGACATTGTACCATCTTGCCTCACGTATAAATTCTCATCAAGTTTATGCGTGCCATCACTTGAAAATTTTAATTGAGTCTCATCGTATATTGCGTAATCACGAAAACAAATCACGGAATCTTGTCTCGTTACCTAAGGAAGGGATTTCTTTTAGAAAAACAAGTTGCAATCGTTATTTCATGAATCAACATCAAAATTTACCTTTGATATGTTTCTTATAACATCTAAATGTTTTTCAGGCGGTATGGAAGATAAAACGAATATTGATGAAACTATATCAATGTTATCATTTGATGATATGAAATCCGATAAATTATCTTTGGTTAAATCACATACAAAAGCGTTACATCTCGTCTCATCGTATTGAGCATGACTCTAGAGAGGAAAAAATATAATTGATTAATTAGATAGATACATATACATATTATATCCTGGCAAATCATCTAATAAATTTCGATTATCCAGGATATAACTTATACACGCACGTATATATATATACCTTTACAAAATCAATCGCTCTCTTTGAAAAGTCACAAGCATAAACAAATAATAAAGGATTTGCATCCAAGACCGGAAATATAAAATTTCCTACACCACAACCTAATTCCAGTACATCTATCCTTTTATCTCGTGATTCTGAATCTTGATCATCATTATTATTAAACGAAAGTTCATTAAATTCTCTTCCAATCCAATGTCTATTTTTAAAAAATTTTGTAGTGTTACGTTTATAAAATAAATCCCTAATTTTAATTTTTTTTTTTTTTTTTTTTTTTTTTACAATAAATTTAATAAAGGTACATCAAATTAAAAATGATTGTGAAATGAGATAATATACCAATTTCTTGATGCCTCGTTTTTATATTTATTCACCCAAAATTGTGGTACTAATTTTTTATCATTTTTTAACATTTCTTGAATTTTTTCATAGTCCTTACTTCCCGGTTCAGTGGTTTTAGTTTCAAGACATTCAGGTTTATTATCGGTCATATTATTTGATATTAATTTATTTTTAATTCGTCTGGTTTTAATTAAATTAATAGACGAAAAAGATTTACTTTTAAAACGATTGAACATATTTTTTTTTGTTAAAAAAGAAAAAAAAAGCTTTAACGTGATTATCACCACGTGATTAGGGATGGGAAATTAACGGTTAATTAAGATTTGGTTAATTAACCCGTAATATAAATTTTAATATAAAATTTTATATAACAAAAAATTTTTTAATTTTTTATTTATCGTTATCGCAATATTACTTATTAAACGGAAATTTATTATTACAAATAGCATATTGATATTGTTACAACAAATTTATTATAAATCCGAAAATACTATCATCAAAATTCAATAAATCATCGTTATTATCATTGCCTCCTTCATTATTATCCTTTTTATTCTTTGCGAATTTCTTTCCTTTATTACATAACTTTATTTTTTTGAACTCATCATACATCCGGAGATTTCCATAAATATAAACCAACTTTTTAAC